GCATTATCCGATTAATTGATGAATGCCACACAGAGAACAATTCGCTGCACCCTGTCACCCATCAGCTCCGCCAGAGCGCCCCCCCAGAATGGCCAATCATAGTCCACCATAGATTTTCCCATTGTGAAGCGTGACCCCTGCATATCACACTCTCACTCGATCAATTGATAACTCAATCACTCAATCAATATAAAGTTATGAACCTGTCAACTAATCAACCAACTAATCAATCAACTAATCAATCAACTAATCAATCAACTAACTAATCAAGTAATCAATCGATCAACCCATCATCGCATATGCCCGAAGCGCAGCTAACGCTTTTGGGATCCCAATAGCTCTGCAGATCTCCCTTACCAGACGATCTGACGGAACGTACGCGAGGAATGACGCAACTAAGGGAAGGACGACTACCAGCAGCAGGCGGAGCACAAAATGTCGGACCCAGATAGGCACCGAGAGAAGTGCTCGGAGCGTTACCTCGTCATGACGACCCTTGTCCTTCTTCCTTGACTGTTCATCTTCCTCTGGGTACCTTGCATTCAAAAGCCTGTAGACTGTTGCAGTGTGACAAGAGGCGTAGATGTGGATCATGCAAAGAATCTCCCATACCATCAGCCAATGCCAACCTGATCCGCCGGCACTATCAACCGCGACCTTGCCAGCATAAGCGCAAACTACGCCGAGCGTCAAAAAGAGCGACGTTACCGGCCTGTCGTGCGCTGTGACGACGGCATTCCGGCGCATCATCAGCCACGCTGCCATCGACAGGATCAGGAAGCCCATCAAAATCCTTGCAGTGATAAATACCTGGCATGCCATCGTGTAAAACCCGACAAACACCCCGTTAAACAGATAGCCCATCCCGGTCATCGACCACACGTTTGCCTGGCGCCTATTGGTCGCGAGCGCCACGTGCAGGAAAGCTTGGCAGGAGCCAATCTGTTGAGACAGAGCGCCGTGGCCGTAATTCCAACCACAGTATAACAAGGCGGCACACATGATGCACAGCCCGCCGACAAGCTCGTCGGCGAATGAGCGTGCCAGGGCTGCCACTGCACTCACCTTCCTCCTCTCCCTGGTCTCCCTCTCCTTCGCTTCCAGTTTGCTTCGTGCTAGCAGGTTCTGCTCTTCTTGCAAGCTGTTCGCCTTGTCCTTGCGCACCTCGCCTTGACTCTTCAGGAGCAATTCCGTCTGCTTCATTCTTATGAGCTCGTACTTCAACGCCACCGATCTCTCTTTCGCAGCAAGGGATCTTTCCAAAAACTCCATTGGGACCACCTGCTGGCTATGTAGATGGGAGCCCGAAGCGCTCGACAACGGCATGAGCATGCTCGTCTGCTCCCTCACAATCATTCTTCTCTCCACCTCCTCACCGCCTCCTCGGCGCATTCCAGGGCTCTCGCCGTCCCGCTTTGGTTCGTTTTCCTTGCCCAGGGTACGGTGCACGGCACTCTTGCCAGTTAGCCTCACCTCCGGCGAGGCGTCGCCGCCGCTACCCAGGCCGGCAGCTGGCAGTTGATCGCCGCTTAGAGCTCCGCCCGGCTTGTAGTTTCCGGAAGCCTCCACCATTTCCGTACTACTGCGATCAAAGCTCGCGGAGCTTCCTTTCCGTCCTTTCCGGGACCTCAGATGGCATGGAACCAACATCCCTATCAGCCCCTTCCGCCGGATGGGACTCGTCACTTCCACCAACACATCCTCGTCCTGTGCCGCCAATCCATTCCCAAAATCCTTGGAAGGCTTCCCTGCCGCAAAACTGGACGATCCCCCATGCTCCTCCACTCCCAACTCGGCCACCGCATTGCTCCCTTCTCCTCCTCCATGTCGACCATCCGTGCGTTTACGCTCCGCATCCTTTGCTTCCTCTCGTGCGACCTGCCCTTTGCTCTTCTCTCCGTTCTCCCTGCCGGCTGTACTTCCGTTCGCCGAGACGCAGCTGGTCGCAACGGTCACAAGCCTGTCATCGCCTTCCTCGAGAATCACCACCTCACTTCTCCCTTTCCTCCACTCACCTCTCTGCTCGCTACGGTTTCCATAGCTACCACTCCCTTCTCCCTTCCCATCCTCTCTCCTTGGCGGTTCCTCCTTCTTCGACTTCAAGGGTTGCTTATCCAATCGCGAGAATTTATACAAAGTTGAAAACGTCCTTGACATTTCTGTGACGAACTCACTGGCTGATTCTCCCATATGCTGCCACATATCCGTTCCAAACACACCAAGTTTTCACACTCTTTTTTTTTTTTTTTTTGAAATTTGTTTGTTTCTTTTTTAATGTTTTTTTCTTTTCCTTTTTTTTTTGAAGATGACAAAAATTCCGGATTTCAGAAGCAAGAAAATACAATAACGCTGCCATCCTACCACATTGCCATTTTAGGAAAGACTAATTCAGAAGCTCAAAAGCATAAAATGCTAGGTTACCATATGTCTGACCGGATACGCTTCACGGAGACGTCTCCGGCAGACGTCCGGTGAGGGACTTGTCCGGAATCCCGGACAATTCATTTTCTCCAAAATAAATAGCGAAAAACAAATAAAAATGGGGAGGGGCTGCGCTACATGAGGTAACTCCATTTAAAAAAAAAAATAAAAAAAATTCAGCTCATTTGGAGCAAAAAAAAAAAAAAAAAAATGCAAAACATGGGGAAAGGAGGGGGTTGGGGGTGGGTTGGGGTGCGTGATTGAAATTGAACCCAATAAGATGGGACCCGTTTGGTTGAAATTGATACAGACATCTTTGGCGATCTTTATCTTTTTTTCTATGGGCTTAAATGACCCAAACATTTTGTGGCACATACCTCATGTGAGGGAGAACCCACTGAAACAAATT